ATGACCTACAAGGTCCCTTCCAACTCTGATTATCTGTTAAACCCCAGTCACATGACCACCGAGCCACACCCACAAATTAGGCCACGCCCCACAGAACCGGTTGTTAAGAAATTTGAACCCCACCCCTGCTCAAACCAGCCGAAAATCAGCTGTGAGGCACAGTGCAGGTAAGGGGGTGGCAGGGTTGGGTGGGTGGGGATTGTGCGGGCGTGCGTTGGGGGCGTGCATTGCTGGCACGCGAGCGTGCAAGCGCACGCACAATTTTTGGCATAGGAGCCCAAAAAGATTAGCCAGCAGGGGGGTTGGACTAGAAGACCTCCAAAGTCCCTTTCAGCTCTATTCTGATGGATTGACTGACGGTGCACATTTCGCAGGAACTCCCGAGATTGGAAAACCTCAAACTTTCTCCTAGGACAGTGATGGCTAACCTATGACACGCGTGTCACTCGTGACACGCCAAGGCACTTTGACTGACACGCCTGTTGGTGTGGGGAAAACCTGCACATTTAGAGGCTGCCTGTGCTCTGCTCCAATCCCTGCTCCCTGCTTGTGGCGTGGAGGCGCGGTGTCACCGCTGCCGCGAGATCTTTGCAGCAGAGAACCAGTTTTAACCGCCATAAACTGAGGTTTGTCCGTTTCATTACCTCAGGAACGCTACAGGAGGAAAGGAGATCCATGAGGTTCACAGCCCTGTAAGGTGGCCTTCCGATCCCCACATCCTGCACCTGCAGCCCTGAGACCAGGGAGACGAGTTTCACAGCCCTGTGTGATCACCCCAGCCCAGTCCGTCATAAACCAAGTTATTGATATTTCTTGAAGTGACACACGACCCGAGGAAGGCTACACTTTTTCCCGATTTTCGACACACCAAGCTGAAAAGGTTAGCCATCACTGTCCTAGGAGAAAAGGCCGTCAGGGCTCACCTTGTTTCACCGCGGTCGAGAGATTCAGCTTGGCCGATTTGATCTGTGCTTTGGCCAGGTGTAAGGATGAAGCCAGCAGCTGGGCCGCCTTCATGTACAGGACCAGCTGTTCCACTTGCCTGGACAGCAGGAAACAAAGAGGAAACAATGTCAATCGTTCCATTGCTATGGACTCAAGGTTCTCAACGAGGGGGTTCTTCCCCTGGTTCCCCCACTTCCTGTTGCAACTTTGGAGGTCTGAACGTCTGTGGAGATTCTCGGGTCATCCCGGCCACGGTTGTCCCAAAGGTGCTTTTTCCAAAGAGGCAACTGCACTTTCTTGCCTTTTTTTTTTTAAAAAAAGACATTTTGCTTCTCATCCAAAAAGCTTCTTCAGCTCTGACCGGTGGGGAATGGGAGGATTTATAGTCCTTGCTGACAGCTGGTCATTTGCATTCTTTTTAGAGGGTCGTTGAGGCCACTTGGAAGTTTGTCTTTGTCCTCAGGGTCACTTCAGTGGTACAAATGGGTAGTAAGAGTTTCCTTGGAACCGTTGAAAGGACTGTTGTAGAAGGCTCCACACCCATTTGCACCACTCAGGTGACCCTGGGGACGTAGACAAACCTCCAAGTGGCCTCAACGACTCTTTAAAAGGATGCAAAGGACCAGCAGTCTGCCAGGAGTATAAATCCTTCCATTTCCCACTATCTATTCACAGCTGAAGAAGCTTCTTGGATGAGAAGTGAAACGTCTTCCAAGAAAAACAAGAAACTCCAGTCGCCTCTTGAAAAAAGCACCTTTGGGATGTCAGCTGTTCTTATTGACCAATGGAATTTTGTCAACACCAATGGTGTCCCCAGTGGTGTTCCAGAGGTTTTGCGATTGCACACAAGATGCCTATGGACAGTTGGTATTACTTTTGCTTTCTTTTGCCAAAGTCCTTCTATTTCTATTTTCTGGTCTTTGTATTTTGCATCATTATTGATTATTATCAAACTAATTTATCTTGAGGTTTGAGGAGACTTATAATTTTGTTGCTTGTAGCTTATGATTTGATTACTTATCGTACCCTATGACTATTATTTGTCATTTGGAAACTAAAAGTTTCCTGCACTTCCCACATTATTAAGTGTTGTACCTGAAGATTCTTGACGAATGTTTCTTTTCTTTTATGTACCCTGAGAGCATTTTCACCAAAGACAAATTCCTTGTGTGTCTAATCACTTGCCCAATAAAGAATTCTATTCTATTCTACCTTATGATTTATATGAATTGTTTTATTTAATATCCTAGTATGATTGATGTTGCTTATTTAGTATCCTATGACTGTCGCAGAATGCTGTATTTAAATGATTTATGATGAATGTATTTTATGATTATGAACATGATTTATCACTTGCTGCTTGTATGTACACCGAGAGTTTATGCACTGGAGATAAATTCCTTGTGTGTCCAATCACATTTGGCCAATAAAGAATTCTGTTCTATTCTATCCTTAATTCTAATTCTATTCCTAATTCTAATTCTATTCTAGTTCTATTTTATTCCATTCCATTCCTATTCCATATATTCTATTCCATTCTATCCTTAATTCTAATTCTATTCCTAACTCTAATTCTATTCAATTCCTGTTCTATTCTATTTTGTTCTGTTCTGTTCTATTCTGTTCCTGTTCTGTTCTATTCCGGTTCTTTTTTTTCTGTTCTCTTCTAATCCTTAATTCTAATTCTATTTGTAATTCTGATTCTGATTCTGATTCTATTCCTAATTCTAATTCATTCCATTCCCGTCTATTCTATTCCTGTTCTTATTGCATTCTATTTTGTTCTGTTCTATTCCGGTTCTCTTCTCTTCTGTTCTCTTCTATCCTTAATTCTAATTCTAATTCTATTCCTAATTCTATTCTATTCTTGTTCCATTCTATTCCATTCCATCTCATCCTTAATTCTAATTCTATCTCTAATTCTGATTCTAAGTTTATTCCTACTCCTAATTCATTTCATTCCATTCCTCTTCTATTCTGTCCCTGTCCTATTGCATTTTATTTTGTTCTATGATGTTCTTGTTCTGTTCCCATCTCCATTCCCTTAAGGATAAAAGCCAGCCACTGCTCCTGATTATTATGGGTTGCACCTCTAGGGCAACCTGCCACGTGAGCCTGTATCAACTCAACGTATCCGCACCTTTCCTCTACAAAGGCATGAAATCGTGTGAGGAGTTCCTGTGATTGATTTATACATTTTTACTGGCCACCCATCTTGCCTCAGGGTAACTCTGGACAGCTTACAATCATGAAAAAATAAAAACTACCCCCAAATTTTTAAAAAAACACCATAAATAAAATCTGGAATGTTTGAAACGGTTTTGGGACCATGAACCGTCCTGGGCAGGAGGAGATTTTCACGGAAGAAAGCTAGGAGCTCGAGGAATTACTGACCCCCAGTCTTTGCTCAGCTGGCTGATCTGATCCACCACAACGCTCTCCTGGATCTGGTAGAGGGACACGGCGGAGTTGCAGAGCTCCGGGTTGCCGCTCCGGACGGCTGTCAGGTCCAGCACGCACTCCGTGAACGCCAGCATCAAGTTCAAGTGGCGCAGGGTGTCCGTGTGCTCCCTCTGGAGAGAAGCAAGCAAAAAAAAGACCAGCTTAAAAAGGGAGCCTCTGTGGAACAGTGGTTAGAGTGCAGTACTGCAGGCTACTTCTGCTGCCTGCCAGCTGCCTGCAATTTTGGCAGTTCAAATCCCACCAGGCTCAAGGTTGACTCAGCCGTCCGTCCTTCCGAGGGGGGGTCAAATGAGGACCCAGATTGTTGGGGGCAAGTGGCTGACCCTGTAAACTGCTTAGAGAGGCTTTGTAAAGCACTATAAAGCGGTATATAAGTCTAAGTGCTATTGCTATGACTATTAAATCTCCACCTGGGCTCTGAGGCCATCACAAGGACACAACCTTTGCATGTGTCTAATCCCATTGGGCCAAATAAAAGTATTCTATTTCTATTTTATTCATTCCTGTTCTGTTGTGTTATTTTCTGTTCTATTCTATTGTCGTGGCCTGTCAGCCGCCGGCCTCTCCAGCAGCTGAATTAGAGGAGGAGGCAGCGTGGGAGTCAGGGTCAGCATTCAGGCAACCTGAGAGCTCCAAGGGGGAAGAGGAAGTGGAGCTGGCAGAGACAGAGGCGGAGCCTGGGCCATCCGTCAGCCCTCAGATGGAGAGTCAACAGCCCCCAGGTCTGGAGGTGGCTGATGAGGAACAGCTATGTCCAGTCCCTGACGCACAGAAAACAGAGGAGAGGAGAGCAATGGAAATCTATGGGCCGGTCCTTGGGACGGAAGAGCCACCACTGCTAGCGAAGCCCCTACTCAAGCTCTGGGGATAAAAGGCAGGGGGCGGAGATGAATAGATGTGACAGACAACTATTCATCTCCTTGCAGGACGGACTGGTTAGCCTGCGGTGAGAGAGAAACGTTTTGCCGGGGCTGCCGGCGCTCCTAATAAAGGAATCTTTTGAGTTAACTTCAGAGGGTTTGTCGTGTTTGGGGAGCTGGGTCAGAACAGGAGTCAACTGTGGTCGTAAAACCACAGACTACCTGTACCTGCATAGCCTCCCGTGAATCAAAGGGTCTTAATACTTTCTACACTTGCGAAGTTGGGTTATTAATGTTCTGGACAGGCATACTAGGGCTAAGTGCAAAAGAGTATGCTCCCTGCCACATAGCCTTCCCACACCCCAGATTAATGTTGCTATAAATATTAGTCCTGGCGAAGGCTGTAAAATTCCTTGGGGCTGGGTAAAGATTTATTTAGCGGTTTGATTTCCGTAGCCACCCATCTCAACAAGGGTCTCTTGGCGGGCATGCATCGTAAAACACAGGAACAAATGAAAAACCATTAAAAATGCCAAATATGTACTATACACAGCATCAAGGAGAAATGTAACAAGGACGCTCATGCAGCCACGGAAAGGGGACTTTTAAGATAACTGTATTTTAAAATCTTTGACGTAGGCGGTTTTGTTTACCTGTACAGGTGGACCTCAACCTATTACCACAACCGAGCCCAACATGGCTGTGGCTAAGCGAAACACTGGTTAAGGGGAGTTTCGCTCCGCTGTACGACCTTTCTTGCCGCCGTTTTTAAGCGAATCACCGCAGTTAGTAACGTAGTTGTTAAGTGAATCCGGATTGCCCCGTTGGCTTTGCTGGTCAGAAGATCCCAAAAGGGGAATCACATACCAACCGTCTTAAATATGAGTCAGTTGCCAAGCGCCTGAATTTTCGGATGCAGCGTCCCCTAGGGGAATGCTGCAACGGTCGCAGGTGTGAAAAATGGCCGTCAGTCACTTTTTTTGGTTAACTTCAAATGGCCGCTAAACGAATGTGTCAACTCATAAAATATTTCTATGGTCTTTTTAGAGTTGCCAAACAGAAAGGGAGGGGGAAGCAGTGTGGCAGCTTGCAAAAATGAAACTGCATTCCATAAATGTCTTCAACGATAGTAACTAGGTGACCGAAGTTTCTGTCACACAAAATTCTAACTGGAGAGCATGATTGATGACTCTGGGCTATGGAGGTGTCCCATTGGAGAATATGAATTACGATACACCCAGGGGGGGTGGGGGAAAAAACCAGGGTCAAGGGTGACAATGAATGATGTGCCTCAGAGTCGGCTACACCTAGGCAGTGCCGGACATGTTAACTCCCAATAAATCATCTTTAAATTTTGGAAGTTCGGCTCGAGAGTCATGATTTAAACGGGGGACACTGCCGGAGCCCTGACAGAATGGTTGTAAGCTGAGGACTCCCGGTACGCCATTAACCCTGCATTGCAATGTCTCTCCCAACCTCCATACCTCCATCAAAGTTTCTTCAGGCAGTTCTGGAGCTTCAAAGCTGGGAGGTGAGGCGCCGTAAGGCATGTACTTCAAACAAGGGGCTGCCTCGGCTCCAGGAGGGGAGGAACCCATATAAATTCCGGGTGGGGAGCCCATCAGGATCCGGCCACTGGTAGAACAGAGGGAGCCTCCGGAGCTGTTAGAGCCAACTAAAAGGCAGGAGTAATAATAATAATAATAATAAAAGACACATCACAACACTGTGATGACCCAAAGGGGCGTGGCACAATGGCAACACAGTCAGATAATCAGTAGGAATCCCTTTATCAGCTCCAAACTTTGCCCCCAATGTCCTGGTTACCTTCTGGGCTGGAGAAAAACTCTCCAGGGAGCAGAGAATCAAGTCCAAAACGTGGTCAACAAAAAGTATAAGTCCAATCAAGGCAAAAGGAGGTAATTAGAACGGCAGAGCAGGAATTCCAGATGGGAAGGAACGGGAGTAATTCAACACCGTTGGGAGGGCGCCAGGAACGCAGATAAGCAAAGTCACAACACAAGATAAAGTCACGTTTGTTCCCAGCAGCTTCCGCACTCATCATGCATCTCTTTTAAACTCCCTTCCCAGCTGTGGCTAATGAAGGAAATCAGGGCCCTTTCCTCCCGCATAAGCCACGCGACCCATGTTGCTCCCTTCTCCGTTCCTCCTTGCGTGCCCCAGGATCTGGGCCTGGGTCTTCCTCTGAACTCCCTCTCCCTTCTACCTCTCCCCTGCTCTGCCCAGCCGGACTTTGCCCTTCCCCAGTTTCCTCCACAGCCGACGGAGCCACACTCCCGCTCTCCGTCAGCTGTTTTGTCTTCCTCCTCGGATTCAGACTCCGACAGGGACATGACAAACACACTCGAAAGGCTGTGTAAGCTTAAAAAGAGCCTTCCCAGAGAAAAGAGTGTTTGCTGCTAAGTTTGAATCGAATTGTGTGGGTCCTTGCTGCTATCTTGAGTTTGGTGGTTTTCTTGTAGATGTTCCACGACCCAACTAGGTAACAGTGGGTACAATTAACCAATGGAACAGCTTGCCACCAGAAACCATGGGTGCTCCATCACGGGAGGGTTTTAAAAATAGATCGGACAGCCATTTGTCTAAAACGGTAGAGGGTCTCCTGCTTGAGCAGGGGGTTGGACTAGATGACCTCCAAGATTCTTTCCAGCTCTATTCTGATTCATTTCTTTTATCCCTCTTTCAAAACACTTTTCCTTTCTGTCTAGTGGATGGACTTGGCTGTCTTCAAAAGACCTTTGTCTTTCAGATGCAGATGGATCTCTGAATTTTGTCCTGGTGTGTTTGTTCTCCTGCATGGTTTTCAAGGAAAAAAACCAAGAGAGTCCAGTTGCCAGTTTCCTAGTATAATTTGATTTCTTATTGTACCCTAGGACTATTATTAAGTGTTGTACCTGATGATTCTCGACTCTTGACGAATGTATTTTATTTTCCTTTATGTACACTGAGAGCATTTGCACCAAGACAAATTCCTTGTGTGTCCAATCACACTTGGCCAATAAAAGAATTCTATATTCTATTCTATCCTAATTTCTATTCTATTCTATTCTATTCTATATTCTATTCCATTCCATTCTTCATTCCAGTACCTATTCCAGTATCTATTCCATTCCATTCATTTCTCTATTCTATTCTCTATTCTATTCTATATTCTATTCCATTCCATTCTTCATTCCAGTACCTATTCCAGTATCTATTCCATTCATTTCTCTATTCTATTCTATTCTCTATTCTATTCTCTATTCTATTCTATATTCTATTCTATTCCATTCTTCATTCCAGTAATTCCATTCTATTCTATTCTATTCTATTCTATTCTATTCTATTCTATTCTAT